CACCTCGGCTGGTGATGAAACGTTTGCAAACCAAATACCAAGCTCGGTGGACAGGCGAAATGAAATACAAGAATTTTTACTGAGATTTCAGTTTTTTAATCGTTTTTCAACTCCGATAAGATAGTTAAAAAATTATTTGAGAATCACACTTGTTTGTTACTTGTCTAAGCATTTCATTCGGAGCTTCGAACCTACAGTATTTGCTGGTTCAACTGATCGTGGAATTTTGTCTAATTAAGTAAATATATGCAAAGCAGAACTGAAGAAATCATTCTCCTTCTTTTGAACAACAACAATAAAGATAACAATTGAACATTACTAGCCCATTTGCAAAAAATGAAGATGTTTTGTAAACGGAATATTCGGGCTTTCTTGATATTCGCGAGGAGTGGGGGAATGTGGGGTGGAGACGTATGGAGTATGAATGGACACCGAGAATAGCACTGGAGAAAGCAAACGAATACACATGAAACTAAGTTACAACCCGATGATAAGTTAATGGACAAATGTGTGAATGAGCAATGAAATGGGGCAGGAACTGATTGATATGTATAGGTCAATCTTGTGAGCATACATCTTTTGACAGGATCATATAGGTGCATTGCGTTTCCTTGGAAAACGGGGGTGGCTCTGTTTAGAAAAAAATTCTCAGAGAAGGATCGGCAAAATTCTATGACTTCCTCCTTTCGGAACATACAACTTGCTCCACTGGCACATCATCAATAACCAGTTTATGAGTAGTTTGCGAACAGCCCGGTTTGGCGGAAATGATCAACTGTGCCTTGTGATTCATGATGCAAAAGTCATGTTGTACAAAACCGTCCTGTTTGTGTTCCTGAGAAAAATATTGAAGAGAGTCAGTTGATGTTTATTGATAGGGCAAACATCTCTGCCAAAAACCATCCAGATTCAGTAGCAATTTCCCTTCGACCTATTTAATGTTCGGTAACACATTTCTGTTTAAATAAACTGAAAGAAAGAAAAAACAACAACATGCTAACGATCTATTCTATCTACCTTATCCATCAAAATTTATTGCATCTTTTTACGGAGATCGTTTTTTCAAGCCTGTATTTGACATCTTACGATTTGATGAGCATTTGGCTTATATTATGCAGCAATAAAATGCGGTTTTCGGAGAACGGTACATTTCTTGCCTCTTTTGTATTTGTCACACGATCATTCATTCAGGCTAAGTCGGATTAACAGCTTTTGAGCAATATATAAATTGTCCTTTGTGCTTTAATAAAAGACTGTTAAACCACATATTCCTGTCTCTTTAGTGGTCAAACCTCAATCATTCGAGACTCTGAGGCTTGCATATCTAAACTTGGCCTTCTTTTTATCTTATCTTATCCTCTTTCTTAATCAATATCTAATCGTAAAAAAATTATCAAAGGAGAGAGGAAGTCGAGAGAGAGATTGTTAAATGACAGTGACACGGTTCACACACACCACTTTCAGGGTGATGTGACGAGAAGGCGAGTCGGCTGACAAAACAATTATTGATTCAATTCAAAAACAACCGGTGTATGCGTTCGATTATATACAGTAAATTCTCAACCGCGCGGCACGATGATTCATGCCTCATTCTGTTGGTCCATCCCCGTTGGTTTCGGTCCACACTTGGCACGTACGTTTCCTCTT